TATATAATAGCACCTGGGGTGGGAACAGAAGAAGCAGCCTTCTTCTCAACTTCCCACTTCAGACTAAGTGGCCAGGGATGCTCACCCCATGATGGGACCGCTGCTATGCATAGCCAACACCTGTCCCATCAAGTCCCTCATGCCAGAACCTCGCCACTTTTGGAGCTGTCCCTGACACACCAGAAATGTAAGGGGCAAAGAAAATCTCACTACTGGTAAGGCCACACATGGTCCCAGTGCAAGAGCACTATACTAATAAATTCTCTTAATCACTGTACTCATTCTTGGACAGTCATCAGGGAGTCAAACAGAGCTTCTTTAAAGTTTGGAAGGATTACTCAACACCACAGTCTTTGTAGCACAGAAGAGGGGTCCAACAACTGTAAGTGTTACAGATATAGAGTCTCCAACAACCATATCCGTCGCATGGTCATGGACCTCCCCTTCTCATCGCTCTTTCTCTCTCTTTCACTCTCTATCCCGATACCCTACTATCCTCACCCATTCTACTCCATTCCCCCCCCTCATGCAAAGCTTTCCCCATCAGGGTTTTGGTGCTGGCCAAGGTTATTTGGATTTCACAGGATTTCCCGTGACCTTTCCATTTGTAGTTAGTCATGCATCATGTACAGAAACCACCAAAGGCAGTTCCCACTAACTACTACAACACTCTACAACTGTCTTGTGCACCGTCCCTTGTAACAACCCCCTCTTGTGACTCAACTGAACCTGTGTGCCTGTACAACTCTCAACATGTCCTATATGTCTGGCTATATCAAGTCCTCTGATGGTTCTCGCTGTGAGAACTCGAAGTCACAAGTCAAAGACTCTCTCTCGACTTGTGTATCATCCTATGGAACCTGTATCCTACAGGACATCATCACTCAGCTCTCCCTCCAGTGCCCGACAGATGACATCATACTACGATCTTAGAGATTGTGAATACTCTGAGGCCCATACTCCCATGATGCTGGCATGCTCGCTACATGAGTGCCAAGTAGCTGCCCATCCATCATCTGGTCCCTCCCTCATCAGTCATCGTACCTCCTTGCCAACAGTACAATCCCTTTGGGAACACCAAGTCACCGAAAGCCCCACTAGTCATTCCTCACTGTACACTCATGTTAACAACCCACTACCGGTACATTCGCACTGCGAATGCCAAGTAACCGATAGCAATGATACAGAATCTTCACACATCTTACGAGTCACAACCGCACACACAGTATGCTCCACTGTGGAGTGCCAAGTACCTGTGGCTGACCCATCCATCCTGTTGTCTCTGACTACACACAATCAATCCCTTAATAGCTCACTCCATCATGAACTACAATCAATGGGAATTCAATCGTCTGCTCTCATGCAAAACTGGGAACACTCATCAATTACACATCCCATTATGGTACAAACTAGATACAACAATTGCCATCCCACTATAAGAATGGGTCGAGAAGGGAGGAATTCTCCCCATCCTTGTAACAGTAAGTACAATGCAAACTGGGTATAAAAAAGGATAAATCAGAACAAAAATAAACGGTAGATGGTGGCGATGGGAACAGGAGGAATGTTAGCAGCTCAGCTAAAGAACAATAAGGCACAAAAAGTGGACACAAGGTGACAATAAAATGAATAAATGAGCCCATGAAGTCAATATCAACCATCAATATCGCTTCTCCACCTCTTATCTGTCGTCCTAACTCCCGTCCCGTCATTCCATACTCTTTTCCTGATCCGTAGCTGTCCTTCAAGCCCAAAATCATGTGATTTGGTGGAAAATTGATGGAGATATGGGGGAAATGGTGAATAACAATGAAATTTGGGAAGTGGCAACATGAGTCTTGAGAAAAGCATGAAGAAAATTGGGAAAAATGTGAGAATGTGCTGTGGGCGTTGGGAATGTGTCAGCGGCTTGAGGGCGCTCATTGGAGCCTTGAGAAATGCGATTCTGGTCTCATTTGTGTAGTACTTGCTGTGCCCTCCTACATACAGGCCTTACTCTTTAATTGTGGTCCCTCACGATTTCCTCTAGCAACTCCTACGTTGCGTTCTCCTTAATTACAGCTTCCCAAAGCCACAAATATTGTCCGAATTGATGAAAAAATGGGGGAGATAGAGCCTCTCTACACTTTTGGCTACTCCTGCCCAACCCAGGAATTTGCGAATATCTCCTGAACGGATGCATCGTTTCCTTTCAAACTTTGTGAGTGAGTGGAGCTGTTATTCCTCTATCAAACTAGCCCAATAACACGTCTCGGCCGTCTCTAGAAGGGGCTTGCGTCGACTTTTAAGTTCAACGTTTATTATATCTCACTTTTCCTCGTCTACCTCCCTGAGGTCTTCCCCATCCCCGGCGTTCAAGAGCTCGTTGGGAAGGTATAATTAATCCCCACAATGTTTATTATTACGCCGAAGCGTCATTCTCAGTTGTTGGCATTGTGCAGGATTCTTAAATGTGTGAGCCTGTTTATGCACAACTATTAAGGAGTTGCTGGACTTGTAGACATTTTAAGCCAAAACCGCACTTTTCAGCAAATTTGCTAGTGAACTCTGCACAACAATGCGAGTAAATTAAGGGAATTCGTGGGGTGATGTAGAAATAAGGTCCTTGGTACCCCAGTAGTAAGGGAGTGCATCATGGCATGGTAAGAGGTGAAGTCCACGGTATGTTGGCTTCTCTCTGACATGGATGCTGTCTCTACTACTGGCTAGTTGACTGCTCCATAATAAGGGTGGTAAGTGCCCAACTGCCTTGTGTGACGGAGGTCAATGATAAATAAAGGTGCAAAACTTTGTTAAGTGTGACTTGGGTGTCCAGCACCGATGATAAATACAGACAGGTACAATCAACCTCAGCATACATGAGCATGCAGGTTGTTGATTGGGAGTGGTGGCATAATCTACTCATGACCACCTAAGTCTGCAGTCGCATCGGACATTGTGTCCTCAGTGATAATGCAGTCTGCTTTACCCTTGCCTCTAGTTAACTTGTGGGTATGGGTGCTTATAGGCTTCGGGTTGGGATCCTTGTCCATGACATTAGAGGTTTCCCTGTTGGTGACTTCTGTCTTCGATAAGTCAGGTGAGCTGAGACATCGTAGTCACAGTGTTGCTGACTTGAGCTGTGCTCTGGTTGGAGTCTCTGGAAGAGCTCCTGTCAGCGTCAGGTTGGTTACTAGGAGGGGTACGGGGCTTCCTCCCCTTGTGAACTGGGTCACCGGGTGGGACTAGGTCTGCACCTGCAGACTTCAACGCTTCAGCTATCTTCTGGAGGTTTTGAGCGCATTCCTCCATGTGCTTGTCAGAGAGAGTGCGATTTCTGATGTGATATCCTCTTGGCTTGGGGATGATAGTGTGCCATGCATCTAACATAGCTTGCTTGGCATCAATAAAGTGGCATATCGGTGATCAGGGAGAGAGATTCGGTCCCTAATCTTCTCCTCAATCCCTGCCAGAATCTCTTGGTGGGTGTACCAATATTTATTGGCAGTTAGGGTGTTGGCATGCATTGCCAGAAACAAAGCCCTAATACCTCTGGCGGCATTCTTGGTTTGATTATGTTCTTACAAGAACAGATCATTGGCATGGAGGACTTCCTTAGAGGTCTCCTCAGAGGACTTCAGGACTATGTCCATGCTTGTGAAGTTGCTGCACTAGGCTGTCTTGCTGGGCAAGCCTCTTGAACAACAGATCGATGTGGCTTTCGTGTGCATGCTTGAGAGTAGAGCTAACATCCAAAAGCTTGTCTACCCATGTGGTAGCTTGGCTTAGAAGGGCTTGTAACTCTGTGTCGGTCTCAATGATAGGAAGATGCTGAGGACATAGTCCTTGATGGACGGAAGGGAGCTTCTCGGGTTTATACTTGGGTGCCTTCCTGTCTTCAACAAGTACGGAAATCAAGGTGGGTATGTTCCACATGTACGTGGACAGTTTAGGGGGGACTCCGCTGTTATGTCTATGGGGGGGGGGGGCTGGGGGCCTTCAATACACGGCTTTTTGGTGACTGTGGGCTTCTGAAGGGGCACTTCCTCTCTGAACCCAGCGTGACGTTGCTTAGAGCTAGACTCAGCCTCTTGGGACTTGGTCTGGGCACGCACTACAGACTCCAATTGCTTAACTTTGTCTCGTAATGCTCAGACAGTGTCATCCTCAATCCTAGAATGTTTAGGGGAAGGAGAGCGGGATCTTCTACGCTTACTAGCTTCTTGACGAGATGGAGGGAAAGGTTTACGAGGGTACGAAGTTTAAAACCGGCCTTCAACCCCACTGCGCATATGCTGTAATTTACCACCTTCAAAGTATCACGAAAACATTGGTAAATGGTAAAAAATGGACAAACAAATGGTTTTTTACTACTACGCTTTACTTCCCACAGCAGTGCATAAACCCAATCAGCTCAATCAAATGCGTGATTAGTGTGATCTAGATCAAGGGACCTGATTGGAGTGATTGGAGTTTAGGTGACAATGGAATGAATCACCTCATCAGGGTTTTCCTGATGTAGTGAGGTGATGATGTGATATAAGTGAACAAGATCAATCGAGAAATAAGGTAGGAACAGATCGGAAGCGAAGATAATTGTGAGGCAGTGATGACGGACTGGGAATATAGTACATGGTTCCTACGTCAATTTTATCCAATGTTCGCCTGTGGGTGCCGCGGTTTCCTACATATAGAGGCTGGAGTCCTGCCTAGGGGTTTCCATCCATGCCTGCCTTTGTTTTCAATGAAGATAACAGCTGAAGAATATTGACTGCACCTCACCTGTAATTTGCTGTGTCACACTGGTTCTACATACCACCAGCCGAGTACCGATATTGGTGTCAACACCTGCCCATCAGCACAGATATTGAGGATCAAATGAGATAACCATTGTCAATGATCAATATTTTTCCATTCTCTCTTTCTTCCACCCTGCCAGATTAAGTACCGCACATGAAGGCTTTGCTTGGTCACTTGTCCCCTTTCTTCTGCTCTCAAGCTGCAGTGGGGGGTTTTCCAACATGTTCAAGCACACTGCTCTTTGCCTACTTCTCTTCACTGTCTCTGTCCTTGCTGTCCAAGCGCTGGAGTTACACCGCCTTGCACATGAGCTTCGAGACCCTGCACACGGAGATACAAACACGAAGCAACTCATGAGGGGTTTGCCTCCTTTACCCCCGAGGAATATTGAAGCCTCACGAACTGATGGTAAGTCTGCAGCCATCTTCAGCGATTTCACTTAGCACAAAGATGTATGATGTGACTATCAATGTGGTTTGATCTTCAGCTGCTCGAGGGTCATGGACCAGCGACACAATAACCTGGAGTGGCAACATTAAAGTAACTGCCAAGGATAAGGGTAAACCTAAGACCCTCGGATACCTTGCACTGAACGGTAGTCAGCCATGGTTGGTTTCCGAGTCATCCACTTTCTTCAGTTGTGTCGCATCTGAGTTGACACCTTCTGGAATTGATCGATAGGTGTACGGTAGTTAGCGAGTTGAAGAATGCTAGTACATTCACAGCTACATTACAGCAAGAAGGTGTCACTTCAGATGTGAGCTTCAAAGATATTGTACGTTATCTTTTCCTCCTTTGTCTACCATTGAGTTTGCTTTCCAAATGCAATTCTCCAGAATGCTACAGCTTCCCAACAATATTTGGCAGGTCTGAGCAATGCGACACTGGCAGCCAATAATCTCATCGTCCTGGGGACTTCAGAGTTAAGTACGTCGATCCGGGAGCCTTCATTGTCTAACTCAATCTAACTCCCTCAATTTCCCCTTATAAATGTCAAACACAGCTTTTCCCCCTGATGTCACTTACTCTGGTGGCTCTGTTTCCGCACCTGGATCGAGCTACAAGACGGTAGTCTTTGATCACAATGCGGTAACCCACAATCTTACAGCCAAATGGATTACTGAGAGTGAGTGACTCTGGTTCCATTCAGGGATTCCTCTCTATCCACATTGCATGGTGACACTCACTTGGAACGCTCCTGCACAGTCACGCAAATGTTATTAATCATATGGGATTCACGTCACAATAAGATCTTTCTCACAGTAGATCAGACGATCCTCCTCGTTGGTGATACTATGCGGTTTGTGGTGCGTATGTCTTGTTGTGTTTGAGCCTATGTAGCTGATTTTTTACATGTGTCCTTGCAGATTCTCTCTCTGGATGACTGATGACTCACCACAGACTCCTTACTTGCTGTAAGCTGTGCAGGTTTGGCTCTTTTTGCCTATCCTGTTATCAAGACATCTATACTGTTTATAGAAAGCTTTGGCACTGATTACAAATGAGCAGTTTGTTGTTGCATTGCTTCCTATGCCTTCCTGCCAAGTCCAGATATCATATGGCTTTGGGTGACACTATGACACCAAACCCTTGAAATGCTAACAATGGTGAAAATTTTCTCAAAGTGTTTGCTTGACAATGAGTCAAATGCCATGTTTCACACTGTTGAAGGAGAGAATGAAGGAAGGACAGTTGGAGGTTCTAACGAGACCACTACCAATCTGTTCCCTGGTTCTTTAGTTGGATGGGGAGGTGTACTTAGCAAATTTGTTGTAAATTTAGTACTAATCCGAGTGTTTTGGCTAATTCCACCTTATGGGTTAGTCTAAAAATCTCTGAAAAATGACTTATGGGTGAATCAAACCCTGCGGAGCTGTTCCCTTAGTGTTATTTCTCAATTATCTAGGTGTAATCCTGTGTAGGATCGTTAAAATTGAAGTCTTAAACCTAAAATTAATCTTCTACTCAGTGAATTTTCAAAGATTTAATCTTGTCAATGGTCTTAGATTGTGCCTGAAGTGTCCCTTGGTCTTCTCTTATTTTATTCTTATTTTTATTGCTTGTTTTAACAGTAGCAATATAACTGTTTTGTTTACACTTTTGAAATCTGGAGTTGTCATATCCATCCACGGCCATCATCCTTCACTCCCTCCGGTCCCTCCAGACTACCTCCACTCCTTCTTCACTAACCTCAGAGCTCCTGTATTCCGCAATCACCTCCACTTCCCTCAATGGTCACCACACCCTCTTTTCAATATATTACCTATGCCTCCCTAAGTATGGAGCCCTGAAGGCTTCTGGACAGCTCCAACATCCGCTAGCACACTCCTGCCCCCACTGGGCAATACACTTGCTTGCCCTGCAAGTCTACCTTCAGGCCTATCCCTCCTTTCCATTTCTGGGTTATAGCCCGCCACTCTGCTAACCCCATGACCCAACTCATCAGTAATATTCAATCGGCTAATGTTTAACTCCGTTAGCTCTGCTCTGCTCGGCCCCACCATTTACAGGCCTGGCCCCCGCTGTAACCATATATATACTCAACTTGTACATAGGTTACACCTCAGCAATAAAATCGACTAGAGTTGATCCCCCTTAGTTCTCATTGCCAGTAAGTAAATTAGGGCACGGACATGTAACTTGGCACAGCGCTCCTGGCTTGAGTCGCTGAGGCCGAAGCCCTCCACCATGGAGACAATCCTTCATCTCAATCCGGTCTCTGACAGGAGTGTTAACCAGCTCTCCCTTAGAAATATATATCTACTTGATATTTCTCTCCCTAGATATTGGCTTGAACCAACTTGGATGCTCCCTAGAGACTTCACCCTTGCTATGTCTGAAATTAAGGACCAACAGGACAACTGTTACAAGGATGGGGAGAAATTCTCCCCTCTTGACCTGTTCTTATAGTTGAAAGATAGTCATAAGATCTTGTTTGTACATTAGCGGATTGTGTAATCAATGGGTGGTCCCAATTGGGTATGAGAACGGACGATTGAATCCCCATTGATCGTGGTCCATGATGGAGTGAGCTATTAAGGGTTCAATGACATGTAGTCAGAGACACCAGGGTTGATAGGCTAGCCATGGGTACTTGGCACTCCTCAGTGGAGCATACTGTGTGCACAGTCGTGACTTGTTCAACACAAGAGGTTTCCATATTGTTGCTAATGGTTACTTGGCATTCATGGTACAAACATGCCAGTAGCAGGTTATTGTTACATATATCAGGGAAGGAATGTCTAATTGGGCTTTTGGTGACTTGGCATTCCCAAAGGCTATGTACTAATTGTGGAGGGGTGTGATGACTACATCAGAAAACTTGGTAGGGAGCTCTCAGAGCTCACAGAGCTCTGTGAGCAAATTGAGTCTTTTTGCTGTGCACCCTCTACACATTGGGTGGAGAAAATTAAATGTTTGAATGATTTTGTTCTCCTAAGGATGCAGAAGTGCAAAGATAATATGTATATACATTTTTGGAAATGCATATTAAATGGCCAGCATCATTACTTTTTATTTTTAAATAATGGATGGTCTTCATATCTCCATGAAATCTGCTTAGTTATTTTGGCACCAGTAGTGCAAAGATAATATGTGTCATATCCATACAACTCCAGACCTCCACTCCTGTTTCTGGACCTCCATCTCCTCCTCCAGAACTCCACATCCTCCACCTCCACCTCCCCCTGTTGGTTGTTGAGAGCCCACTCTACCTCTGGCTCCATGTCAGGGCAATAGCCCCGAACCCCGAGTCACATGTAAATTAGATACACATAGTCACGTGGGCAAGCGGGAACCTCCGGGTAACCGCTTACACACCACCATAAAATACACTATCTTGTATCACTTACGGCCTTGTGTGCTGAGCCACCCTAAGACCTCACACTTTTTTAAGTGCATGAGGTGTGTTTTACAACACAACCCACAACTACACAATCTTAACATCTGACTCGGAAGCGCCTATGGCGCCTAAACACGCCCGCAAGGGCAAGGTCGCATCTGCAGCGACACTAAAAAGAAACGAGCGGTTTATAAAGAAACCGCAATCTCCCATCAAGGGAGATTCAAACCAAAAGCCGTCGTCAGATGACGACGAGGATCAACATGATCCGGCAATAGCAACCACCTCAGGGCTGGTCCCTGAAGGCTTTAGAAACTTATGTGGAGTAAGTGCGGGGCGAAATACCCCCAGAACTCCACAACATACCGATCTAACCCAAGCTGGGGAAGATCCATCACCTCCTCACGAGGTGATCGACTTGCGCGAAAAACGCGTAAGTGCCGAACGATCAGCCCAAAAAGCTGATTGGATAGAGTCGCAGGAAACTCCAGGGCCCCACTATCCCCTGGAGTCCCCCCTCACGTCCCCAAGTCAAGCCCCAAAGGCAGACAAAGGGAAACAAAGGGAAGAGCCCCCACGACGGCTATCCGAAAAACTACTGGACTTGTTCCAGGTTCCATCTGAATGGAGGACGGAAAGTGAAGATCAACTTCTTCTCAGGCTGAAAGCCCGAGAAGGCACAAAAATACGCCCTGAGAGCAGGATCTCCCAGAGCACGGAAGCTCCAAAAGAACTTCTGCTGTTTACACTCCCACACACCATGCCAGACAAGGCAAGGTCGCCAACTTCGGAGGAGGTCTCCGAGATAATGAAGAGGAGGCGAACGGAGTTCGCTGAGGAAGCCTTATGTAAAAGTAAGGAGAAACCAGCGAACAGACCCCTCTATGAAAGGGAAGCACCCTCCGCAACGGCCTCGCCAAAACAAAGCGAGCGTGGAGTGTTCACTCCAAGAACCCATTCTGGAACTCCCAGAAGCGGAAATGTCAACTGGGGAGAGTCACTGCTCGCCCAACCAAACTTCCTCCTGGAAAACCAGGAATCGCGCATAATAAACGCGATAAACTCGATCCAGAAAAAGATCGAGGAAACGAACCATAATAGCACAGCTCGTCTAGAGATAACTCTAGAAAGAATGGCCAACGCAATCGACGCGTTGACAGAAAAAATCAGCGAACAAACAGATTTGCTGAAGGAAATAAACTCCTCACAAAAAAGTGAGGAAACAAATAAACACCCCTGGACCACGGTCCAGGACATAAATAGAACTCGTGAAAAATTCACGAAAAGAACCACCAGTGAAAGCACACTGGAATATCACCAGCGACTCGACAGAGACGCTAAGGAGATCCTTCTCCCAAGGATAGGAGAAGACGATGCCGAGAGAAGACATCGTTCAGAGATCAGAAGGAGAATTGGCACGTACCAAAGGTTCGGCCAAACATCCAATTATGACGGACCTCTCGAACAGAGAGGTAACGCATTCATACCCTCTCAAAACAATGAGAGAATACAAATACAACTTCAGGCGAATTCGCCTGAAACCAAAGAAATGCTGCGAAAAAGATTCCCCCCAGCAAAAACCCCCCCAAAGGAGAGATCTCCATTGGACAGCGACCCCGCGAAGGCAGGGGAGCAAGAAGAGTACCTGGAGAAATGGTACGAAAAGGCCATAAGAATGGCCGAAGTGAGAATACTCACTCCCTACCCAGAAGGAGTGAAGCCAGAAGCCCTAAAGAATGGGCTGGCATTCCCTGACAAGAAATGGTCAGGGGAGAACGACATGGAATCGTTCTGGCAGTGGTTCACAGAACTACTGGGATTCCTCGCCTCGCGAGGATGCAAAGGTCCCCAATTCGACGAAGTCCACCTGGACTGCTTGATTCGTGGATTAGGGGGACCCGCATTTGACCTCGGAATTAGACTCCGAGACGAAACTCTCCTCAGAGGAGACGAGGGCATGTTCCTCGAGGTTCTCAACATATTGATGAGAACCTTCATCAAAGCCTCCGCCGCGTTGAACGCGACAAAGAAATACCGCAACGTCAAATACGAAGCGGAAAAAGGCCTAAAACAGTTCTACTTAGAACTGTCAAAAGCAGCATCCCAAATGGTGACGCCGCCAGACCAGGCGTCCTTTAACGCCAGGTTCTTAAACTACATTCCCCTCAAATGGAAGAGGGAAATGATTGCTCATGATAGAATCAGAGCAGACTTCTCCTCAAACGAGGAGATGTTAAAAGCAATATCTCGTGTAGACGAGATAATTGACGGGCTGAAGATGTCCTCAGCCTACAAATCAGGGTACTATACCCGAACAACCACCACGGCAACAACGAGCCGCGGCAAAGCCCTCCCATCAGGAAAGAAAGCGGAAGAGCTGAAACCCAGATGGAAAGAGGATACATCCTCGAAAAACTCGAGGAAAACAGACCAAAAGTCAGTTCCAATTTGCGGCAAATGCGGCAAAATAGGGCAAACGAAAGATTGCCCAAGACACAATATAACGAGCGATGAAAAACCAAGGCGTATAGCTGCCATGGAAATCGC